CCGCGCATTCAGCGGGGTCGGGGCCGGGGCCGGGGCCGGGGCTGGGGCCTGAGCCGAGGCTGCGTGCCCGAGGAGGAGAGCAGTGACGAGGAATCCGACGATGAGGTGAGGCAGTCGGAGGCGTCCCCAACGCCGGGCGGGGCGGAGGCCGGGGGCTTCCAAGGGTCTGGGTGGCCCTGAGGGGTGGAGTGGAGAAGCGAGGTTCTCAGGGTCCCTGCGGAGGGAAGGGGCCCTGGAAATAGGCCTGGGGGGAGATAGGCTGCACGGAGCTGTCCGTGAAAAAGGCCTCTGAAAGTATATAGAGCAGCCTGGGCTGCATCTGGGTACTTGGGCCTGAGGCACGTCCTGCAGAAGTGTCCCAGGCTGATGATTTTGGTAGTTGGCAAAGCTGTTGCAGTAGAGGTTTGAGCGAGAAGGCTATGGGTACTGCATGCCCAACCAGTGGTGGTTGACAGCAGCAGCGTGGCTTTAGTGGACCCAGGCTAGGGCTCTCTGGGCACTTATCTGTAGGCTGCTCCACCTGGCCTCATAATCTCTGACACATCACTGGTTTCACCAGTACCCCGATTCCTCTTACTTAAAGTGGAGAGATGGTAGCATGATGGAGGGCTTCCTCTTGGGAGCACAGGTTGAAGAATATGGAATAAAGACTGAGACTGGGAACTCTAGCAGGTCTGACTTCAGCTCAGGATTTATCCCCAGCCTCTCAGAAAAGTCAGGAGGGTGTGGGTTGTATTATTTAGGACAGTTTGTAGTCACCTGAGGGCTCAGAGTAGAGCTTATTACGGTAAACCATTTGAAACACACACACACACACACCCCGGACTTGAGTGCCCGTATTCCCATCTTCATTCAGGAGGAAACTGCATCCTGAGAGTGTGTGAACAGTAGTCCCACCTTTTTCTGAACTGGAGGATGAGGGAGTCTGAGGGTAGTGTCTACTGCCTGGCCTGAGAAGATCCAGTTCTGTTCCCTTCTGGGCCAGCGAACCACTGATGGCTGTGCTGGTGTAGTCCGGTACAGGGGATGGGGGTTCAAAATACCCTGTGCCTCCATCTCTAGGATGAGAGGGAGAGACTCTTTTCTACTCTTCTTAGCTTCCAGTCGTAAGTTTTTCTCTAAAATAGGTAGGGGTATGTTAAGGGGGAAACTGGGGGGATATACCTCCATACCTGAGTCTCAGGTGGAACAAGGGCTTTGGCACTGACTGCTGTTTCTCCCCTCCACCCCTGGTCCCCTAAATCAGGAGTTTCAGGGTTTTCATTCAGATGAAGATGTGGCCCCCAGTTCCCTGCGCTCTGCGCTCCGATCCCAGCGAGGTGAGTGACGGGGAAACTCTACCTCTATAGCTTTACAGGAATGTTATTCTTGCTTTTCACGTCAGCTCTTCCCTGTTTAAGTAGAGTCTCCATCAGTTACATAGCGTGTTCTGTGTTCAAAGCTCAAGCTAGCCTGGGCTGTGGGGGAAACAGACTCGCCCTCCTGGAGTGCCTTCTTCAGTCTGCGGGGCTAGCTTGACCCATCTCCCCACACCTATTCTCCTTTTAGGTCGAGCCCCCCGAGGTCGGGGCCGCAAGCATAAGATGACCCCCATTCCGCCTCCTCGCCTAGCAGATGTCGCTCCTACCCCCCCAAAGACTCCTGCCCGGAAACGGGGTGAGGAGGGCACAGAACGGATGGTGCAGGCACTGACTGAGCTTCTCCGGCGGGCCCAGGCACCCCCAGCCCCACGGAGCCGGGCATGTGAGCCCTCCACTCCACGTCGGTCTCGGGGACGGCCCCCAGGACGGCCAGCAGGCCCCTGCAGGAAGAAGCAACAAGCAGTAGTGGTGGCAGAAGCAGCTGTGACAATCCCCAAACCTGAGCCCCCACCTCCTGTGGTTCCCGTAAAACATCGAACTGGCAGCTGGAAGTGCAAGGAGGGGCCTGGCCCAGGACCTGGGACCCCCAAGCGTGGAGGACAGTCCGGGCGAGGAGGCCGTGGAGGTAGAGGCCGAGGCCGAGGCGGGCTCCCTCTTGTGATCAAGTTTGTTTCAAAGGCCAAAAAAGTGAAGATGGGACAGTTGTCCTTGGGACTTGAATCAGGTCAGGGTCAAGATCAACATGAGGAAAGCTGGCAGGGTGCCCCCCAAGGAAGAGTTGGATCTGGACAGGGAGAGGGCCCCTGCTGGAGAAAGGAGCAAAAGCTGGAGGAGGAGGGAGAGAAGGAGACAGAAAAAGAGAAGGACAAGGAAGAGCGAGAAGAGAAGGTAGAGAGAGCTGGACCTGAAGAAGGGATGACGCTAGCAGAGGAAAAGGAAGAGGCAAAGCTGCCATCCCCACCCTCAACTCCGCCAGCCCCTGCAGCCCCTCCACCCCCTCCACCTCCTCCACCATCTCCACCTCCTCCACCCCTCCCACCTCCCTCCACTTCTCCTTCATCCCCACTTTGCCCTCCACCACCCCCAGTGTCCCCTCTGCCCCCACCATCACCTCCACCGCCTCCTGCCCCAGAGGAGCAGGAAGAATCCCCTCCTCCAGTGGTCCCAGCTACATGCTCCAGAAAGAGGGGCCGGCCTCCTCTGACTCCCAGCCAGCGGGCAGAGCGAGAAGCTGCTCGGGCAGTGCCGGAGGGTACCTCTCCTCCCACTCCAACCCCCAGCACCATCACAGGAGGCCCTCTGGAAGACAGCCCCACTGTGGCCCCCAAAAGTACCACCTTCCTGAAGAATATCCGGCAGTTTATTATGCCTGTGGTGAGTGCCCGCTCCTCCCGAGTCATCAAGACACCCCGGCGATTTATGGATGAAGACCCCCCCAAACCCTTAAAGGTAGAAGTCTCACCTACTCTTCGGCCTCCTGTTGCCACCTCCCCACTCGCCCCCCCAGAACCAGCACCAGCTCCCTCTCCACCGCGTGCCCCAACTCCCCCGTCTACCCCGGTCCCACTCCCTGAGAAGAGACGGTCCATTCTAAGGGAACCCACATTTCGCTGGACCTCGCTGACCCGGGAACTGCCCCCTCCTCCTCCTGCCCCCCCACCGGCCCCGCCCCCACCTCCTGCCCCTGTCACTCCATCCCGGAGGCCCCTGCTCCTTCGGGCACCCCAGTTTACCCCAAGCGAAGCCCACCTGAAGATCTACGAATCGGTGCTTACTACTCCTCTTGGGGCCCCTGAAGCCCCTGAGCCAGAGCCTCCTCCTGCTGATGACTCTCCAGCTGAGCCTGAGCCACGGGCAGTGGGCCGCACCAACCACCTCAGCCTGCCTCGATTTGCCCCCGTGGTCGCCACTCCTGTTAAGGCCGAGGTGCCCGTTCCTGGGGCTCCAGCTCTGAGCAACGGGCAGCAGTGTCAGGCTCAGCTGCAGCAGCCCCTGCAGGCCTTGCCAACCCAGCTGCTGCTCCAGGCGTTAGCACAGCCACCGCAGCTGCAGCCGCACTTGCACCTGCAGCCGCC